AGAAATGATATCATCCCTGATGCTTGTGGGGCTCTGATCAAGCCATAATTCTCAAACACTTATATGAGTTAGAACTCTTTTTTTTTTTTCTAGTTTTTGGCTGGGGCTGGGTTTGAACCGGCCACCTCCAGCATATGGAGCTGGCACCCCACTCCTTTGAGCCATGAGTTCTAACTCTTAACAGCCATTTAACTGGCAACTTTGCCCAATGCCATTACCAAAAATGGAAACAGAAATTAACTGAACTCAAATATTGGTATGTACCATCACTCACGACAATCCTGATCGCTTACTCAGAATTTCAAGTGAGAGAGACCACTTTGCCTGCTTGCTTGACGAATCGGCTCTTCCTAAGAAGGATGTTTGCACTAGTATGCATGCATGTAACTAAACTGGTTTCTTACTTTCCTCAGGTAAGAAGGAACTCCTTGGTCCAATGGCTAAAATAACTAAACCTGAGCCCAACCATTTCGGAATACTATGAATACTATGATTGACAGGTTTTTAAGCCTTACCACTTAACAAATTATCTAACAGAGTAGTTATCACATTTTAGTTAGATCAAAATCACTTGTTAAAGCACACTGCTGGGCCTTACCGCCAGACTTCTTGACTTAACTATGTCTGAGTGGGGAAAGATTTTGCATTTCTAACAAGTCCCTGGGTGATACTGATGCTGCTGGTCTGGTATCACACTTTGAGAAGCACTGTTCTAACATTTTCTCCAGTCATGAATAAAGCTGCCCTGATTCTCTTGACTCTCTCTTTAGCCCAATATCCTATCCCATCCATGGCTACAACCATGGAGGCATGTTCACAGGCAGAAAAGAAAAGGTCATTTGAAAGGTCAGAGAACAGGGTAAGGTGATCCTTTCTTTATACCCAACACAGGGTCTAAAAAAAAGTGGGTCTAATTCTGATTTCCATAAGACTCTTAAGCATAGACAGCTAATAATTAGAAAACAGGACTCATGGGGAGAATAGAAGACCTATTTACTCTAAAGAGGATTAGACAAAGAGAAACCAATTAATTTCTTTAAAGTACATAAAGTAGTAATACAAAGGATGTATCTGTAGCTCCATTTTTTAACATATGTAATGCTCATTTGCAAAATGGAGACAATATCTACTTTGCCTACATAAAATGTGTGCTGAGATAATAAAATGTGAGAGGGCTCTAAAGACTACATAATGATATATATAAGTCTAAAATATTAACATTTCTATTCTTTTAGGTCAAACATTCTTTTTTTTTTTTTTTTCTTTTTGACACGGAGCCTCAAGCTATCCCCCTAGGTAAAGTGCCATGGCATCACGCTCACAACAACCTCCAACTCCTGGGCCCAAGCGAGTCTCCTGCCTCAGCCTCCCAAGTAGCTGAGACTACAGGCACCCGCCACAACGCCTGGCCATTTTTTGGTTGCAGCCATCATCGTTGTTTGGCGGGCCCGGGCTGGGGATTCGAACCTGCCACCTTAGGTGCATGTGGCTGGCGCCTTAGCCGCTTGAGCCACAGGCGCCGAGCCTGGGTCAAACATTCTTAACCTAGAATCCATGGATCTCTAGAGTCCCCTAAAAGAGTACACAAAATTTTATGTTTGTGTGTTTTCCTGGGGAGGGGAAAACTACATACACATAGTTCTCAACAGTTTTTCAAATGGGTTTCTGCTTTCAGTGCCAATCTTGACCTATACTCAAGCTCCCTCTACCACCATTTATCAAATAAAAGTTTGTCTCACTTCCAAGTAAATACTGTGCAAATGTTCCTCAAGACACTTCTCCCTTCTAACCCAAATGAGCAGCTTGGGGCGGTGCCTGTGACTCAATGGGTAGGGCACCAGCCCCATATACCGAGGGTGGTGGGTTCTGACATGGCCCAGCCAAACTGCAACAAAAAATAGCCGGGCGTTGTGGCAGGTGCCTGTAGTTCTGGCTACTCAGAAGGCTGAGGCAACAGAATCATCTTAAGCCCAGGAGTTGGAGGTTGCTGTGAGCTGTGATGCCACAGCACTCTACTGAGGGCAATAAAATGAGACTCTGTCTTTAAAAAAAAAAAATCGAGCAGCTTGAATAAACTCTTTACTTATGAAAGGGATTACTTTTAGTTGAAAGAATACTGGGTAGCAAGCTGGCTGGGTACTCAAGAAAGTCAGTCAACCAGATCTCCTATGGAAAAGTACCAAGCACTACAGAGAGCTTGCGTGGGAGGAGGAGGAACTATTAAAATGTAGACACGTTGAAAAAAAGTTACTGCTGATCACCATGCATGTAAAACAAAGATTTCTCAGGGGAAGTAAATCACATTAATAAAGACAATCTTTAAAAGAATGTTTCTCAACCTTTCAGCAATCTTTCAGCAGTAAAACTGCCTGAGCAACACTAAGAAAATCTTTTGCATCAAAACAGCTAAGGAGCAGAGGGTCCAGAAGAAGTCTTGCAGTGACTGATGGAACAAACAGTACCTTGAAGTTCTACCTCGTCAATTCTTGAGATGGGGTTCTTCAAACTTCATCCTGGCTTATTTCCCAGCTGGGAATCAGAGATGTGAGTACTGTCATCTATCTATGGTCTGAGTCCTATTTTCTGAGGGGTACACAAGTCCCTTCTGCTAGTGATTATTAACAAAAATGGAGACAACCTTTTCTACTAAATTTTTCTCCTGAAAGTAAGTTTGAGAGGCTTCACATATTTCCTTTGGTGACAGAGATAGTCTTGGTGGAAACTTCATTACTAATATATAAACTGAAATATGAGTCAGACATTTGTTAAAATTTTCTTAATTTGAATTTTTGCCCAACATGGGATCTGGCTCCAGAGTTTTCTCTTGGGGATTTAAAAGGCACTTTAACATTTCACAAGTCAGCCTGAAAAATCTATAGGCAAATACACTAGAGGGTGCTCAGTGGCTAGCTTTCCTGGCTATGTGGATTATCAGTGGCAATGAAGTATTTCCACAGACCAGGTCAGAAGTTAATGACTTATATACTATCTGAAAGAAAGCCTCAAAAGTCGTTGGCAAGGAAAAGATAGCAAATGAGACAACTGTGTTATTAAAGGCAAATCCTTCCTTACTCCTTCTCATTGTTGTTCAAAAATTACTGATCAAAGGTATATTCCTGGTTTTCCAGAGAGAAGGACCAAGAAGTTGCTAAGTAAAAGGAATGCCATATTAACAACAGAGCAGATCTGTGTTTTATTAAATAATGTTTTCTAAAAGCTGATAAGTTCCAGGACTAGGTTATATTCCTTAAGCAGCAGTCACACTAATTCCTTTAGGGGAGTTTTCCTATTCCCATAAAGAGAAGTTAAATGGGTAAAAGTTCAGTAGGAGCTCCTCTTGAGGGGATGCGCTAAGCAGGCATGACAGTGAGGATGATTTCTTACAGCAACAAGAGTTACTGTGAAAACTCTGATTCTGAGTTGGCACATTAATGTTCAATTGAATTCTTCTGTAATAATTACTTTATGGAAATACCAAAGTGTAATACCTTAATGTGATCCCTCCCTTAAGACAGACAAACTTCTTGCTCTCCCTTCTTATTAGCAAGTGGGTAGAGATTCAGAAAAACAAACTAAAAAACCCAACAAGAATGATTCCATTAAGTAATAATTAAACCTATTAATTCTAAAATATATTATATTCTTTTTTTTTAATAAACACAAAGTAATTTATTTTTTTTTAATATCCTTTTTTTTTTTTAATATGGAATGCTTCACGAATTTGTGTGTCATCCTTGCACAGGGGCCATGCTAATCTTCTCTGTATCGTTCCAATTTTAGTATATGTGCTGCCGAAGTGAGCACAATATATTATATTCTAAAACACAAGTTTGTGGATGGATAGGCTTTCTCTTCATCAAATATTTTTAAACTGAGCACAATGTTTTGAAATGGCATCAAGAATAACAGCCATAACCTCCACGAGAAAAAATAATAGTTAGAACCAGAGTTGAAATGTAGGCTCCTCAGCTGGGCCGTTGCAAGGCCTATGGGATATTCAATCTCATTGTCAATAGTTATTTCTTCAAGTCCACAAACACTAAAAAGAACTTGAAATATACTGTAGAGTCTAACCAGTTTTCTATAGAAAAAAAAAATCTGTATGTCACACAAACCTGTATAGGCTATAATAAATCAGGCTAAATCTAGAAACGAGTTGTAATTATAACAATGTTTACTGTTTTTAAATCAAAAGTTGAAATTGGATCCAAAATATTAAGTTTATGTACCAGTTTTTATCAACAAATAAGTTCTTATTATCATTACATTAAAACTATTTACCTGGTAAATAATGGTATTTTGAAGAACTATACCAAGGGAACTACAGTTTCTGCCCTATAGAAATATACATACATATAAAGAGTATATTTCCCCCAAGGGGAAAATAGGTAAGGGGGAAAATAGTTGGGGAAATGTTTTGACTAGAATAAAAAAAATCCGCAGGGAGGGGAGAGATGTTTTAAATCTCTAAGAAGAGACTTGAAAGAGCACGATTTCTCTAAGTTGTTGTTTTCCATCCTTTTTTTTTTCAGCTGAAGATCTTGCTATGTTGCTCAAACTGGTCTTGAACCTGATCTCAAGCAATCCTCTCACTTTGAGTAGCAGGAGCTACAGGAGTGTGCCACCATCCTTTCCTTATTCTTTTTCTTTACTCCCAGAGGAATAACATAAGCATTAGCTTGAAAACAGAAACACAAAGCAATCACAGGATAATTCGGCCTATACGGCACACCAGCAGCTGTAGGAAGACCCCCCTCTCCCCCCACCAAAGGAAGCCAGGCAGTTCTGACACCTTCCCTAGCTCCACTGGTAATTAAGAAATGGGGGGGGGCGTGGGGGGAGCCAGTACATAGGAACTAATCAGAAATTAGAGTAATAAATGTTTCCCCCATCACAGATTTTGATAGGAGCTTCTACAGGTGATCCTTATCACCTGCCAGAAATGGCTGCCTCTCATTATCAAGAAACAGAAGGAAAAACAAAGTGACCAAAGAACTCACCATCCACTCAGGCACGTGAAAAGCTGAGGTGCCCTCATTACCGTCCCACTTCTCCATAGTGCAGGCTTGGGTAAGATATGTCCTGAAGCAAAAGGGAAAGCTGGTTTGGAAATGCCAGGGTTATCTGAGTGCCCCAAAGCAGACCCAAACCTACTGATTCAGAGTTCACAGTGGCTAGCAGAAGCTGCCTCCCTTTTCACGGCAACCTCCTATTCAAAGAAAGATCATCAGTCAATTGCCTGACAAGTCCTTTTACTGGCTGGCTTCAAAGCCTTCTGCTTCTGATGCAAAAATCAGAGCTGATGCAAAATGCTGCACCCAAGCACTGTATTTCTCACTGTGCACTCACTGTTTAATGCTACCCAAACACTTTACACCACTTCCCCAGTGGGGACTCGCTGCAGCAGCAGTCAGACTTCCTTCACTTCCCATGTGTAAGGCACTTGTTAATTTTCTCCCGCCCCTCAGTACACGTCACTGGAGGTAGTGATACCAAGATCAATAAAGACTGAGGTCAAGAAGGCACTCCCATTTCTCAAGAGTTGCTTGATTTGGATTAGTACAGTAAACAGGCGTTTCCTTGAAATCAAGAGCTCCTTACGGCCTTCAAGTTTAAACAGCTATGCAGAAGCTCCCCATCTGCTCACACCAGGGGTCTGGCACCAAACTCTGACATATCTCAAGTTAAATTCTTACTGCATGGGAGGTTCAGATGGAGCCTGGGAAAATCTTTTGCAAAATCCTAATTTCTTAGAAGCTCTGAAGAAAGTTCTCGGACCACAGCTCCCTCTGCTGGCTCCTTATGCTATGTACATGAAACTCTTAGGGCTCTTAGCTACAGAAACAACACAGGTACTGAACATAAGGCAGCTTCATTGAAGCTAGTTAGGAGCCACCAGAGTAGGTTTAGAGGAGAGCTAGGGTTTCCAAGCAAGACTGGTGCTGCCTCAAAGTCCCTAACCAATGTCAGTTTTTATGCACTGGTCTAGTTTCAGAAGAAATAAGGTGCCAACACGGTAGTCCTGTACACTATCACCTTAAAGGCTCTTGGAAGCTGTTTCACTTTATGTCCCTCTATCAGCTCTCTCCTTACTGTACACTTTGGAAATAAGACATAACTAGAAAAAAAGGTGATCTAACCTTCTTTACCTGTTTAGTTCATTCCTAGAGTACATTATCCAATAAGAGTACCATAGGTTTCGGGCACAAAGGAAGTCCAACAAGAATATATGCCTGCCTTGGTCCCCTCCAAGGACCAAGGACGCAGTGGATAATTTCTCTGGAGGGACAGTCATAATATTATAATGATTACAGGTTTGTTACCCTGTAGGACCTTCACTAATTAAGAGAATGGTCCTCTGGATGCAGAATGGAGGGGAGGTAACGTTAGGGAAGAGGTAATGTAAGATGCCAGAGAGGGCACCATTCAGATGATTGGCCAGAGGTATAGACTAGAGAGAAAGGCAAGTGAAAACAGAAGGGGACTATTGTACGAGATGCGTTCAGAGGTGTCAAAGAAGTAGAAATCACAGGGAGAGTGGAGAGCAGGTGCAGTAAGAAGAGAACAGTGAAGTGGAAGTAAAGGAGCTATGGTGTATAGCAATTTGAGTGGTGTCAAGAGAGAAACTTGATGAGATGCAGGGAAGATAAGGCCCTCTGAGGTCAGGGTGTTCAACTTTGCTATTTGGTATTTCAGCCTTAGCTCACAGCAACCTCTAGTTATTGTTCTCTGGTCTTCCTTTTATTTTTTTTTATTTTTTTTTTTTTT